AGGTGGAGGGGGTTGGGTGTAGTCCGATACACGCTCGCTCATCCGAAAAGGAGGAGAAACAGCCGAGAAATCACCAACTCAATCATGGGGGGTAAGATGAATGAATGGTGGCCATGTCCATATATAAGTGTCCATGTATGGCATCATGAAGGGTGGTCAACACAGATCTCACTTCGGTGATGGCTGATAAGATCGTGTCTCCTCAGAATGCTTTCCTTGTCTTTTTTTGTCTTCTCCTCTCTCTCTCCGTTACACAGCAATCTACCCTAGCTCACAAGCTCGCAGTGGTTCGTCTTGCCAAGCTGGCAATCCTGACAGATGGGACTGTCAGTAGCACCCTACATGAGCCACGAAGCGGTGCATGAGTCGATTCCGACGCCCCCAATCACCAATCCATCACGGCATGATGGCTGTGGCCCCTCACCGAGCAGACAACACGTACGCCCAGTGCTGACAGTGGTGCATCCATACAACTCGCCGCGAGGAAGCCAGGCAACCAGGTGAAAAAGAGGACACCAGGGGGGTGCGTCAGAGGCAGACAGTCGGATGGTTCGTTGTGTGCAGGTCCCTCGTTCGTTGGTCGACAACACAGCGAATATGGATGTGTGTGTGCAGTGAGAGGGAAAGGGCCCATCGGATGGAATGACTGAGTGAATGAATGATCGCTTTCCTGCCTGTGCAGGTGAGGGGCCGAAGGTGTGGTCAATCAAGACACCGGACACGCAAGGCACAGTGACTGAGCAACAAGGCGATCGTGGGAGAAAGGAAGGAGGGGCATGGCAGAGCAGCAGCAGCAAAATGGCGGGACGAAGGCCGTGGCGGAGTCTGGGTGAGCAGGACCGAAGGATGGGCACGTATGTGTTTGGGATGTACGTATGAGTGGTCATCTGTGCTGTGCATGCAGTTTCTCTCTCGTGGCATGGCAGCTGTGGGAAGGCCTGATCGCCGACATGAATGATGTGGTGAGAGGCTGCACCGGTCTGCCCGTCTGTGTGGTGTCAGGGTTAGCGGATTACGAGCCGACGAGGGAATGCCAGCGCGTAATCAATATGACACGCATGTCCACCTTGCCGTTTTCCATCTTCCATCTTTTCCGTGCAGGGCACATGGGTACTCGCATACATGAGAGGGAAACCCACCGATGTCGTTGCTCTCACGTAAGCACCATGACACGCACGTGAACCGTTCGTCGAACAGCCAGAGGCAGCTTTGTCACTTGTCTGTGTGTCAGGACTCCGCGTGAAGGGGGAGTGATCGGCTACCGAGGATGGGGAGCGCCCGTCGGTCCGTGTGGCCTCTTCCTGGCGCCTTGTGATCGATGTTACCCAATCTATTGAGCCACTGTACCCTCACCACAATGGGTATAGACACAAGTGGGGCTCGGCCGCCGGTCTCCCTGACTAACATCTCATCTGTCGTGCAGGGCATATGGGTAGCTACATGAGGGAGAGAAGGGCGTGGATGTCACTGCTCTCACTGCTCTTCTGTCGTGGCTTTGGTTGCTAAGCTATCTGCCGGGTGCCGGCCATGCCATCGCTGTGTGCCAGGTGTTGAGTAGGCAGGATCGGTGCATGTGTGTCTGGACTGTTGATGTCAGTGAGGCGATCCGATTTTCGAAGGCCATTCAGTCCATGAAGGGGTCCACACAAGGCCAATGAAGGTGAATGCCACCTCACCATACACACACTCGCAAACCATGGGATCAAATCATCCATTGCAAAGGTGAAGAAGAAATGCAAGCCGTTCCGGTCCACAATGCTGGCTGGTCGAGTAGAGGATGCCTCTCTGAGCACCCAGATATGTCGGCGGGCCAAAAAAAAAAAGGGACAAGATCGATCAAAGTGGGTGGATTTCATGCGATCTGACCTCATGTGCGGCAGCAGCCATTCTCTCTGCCTCTCTCTGCTTCTAATGGCCTCCCGTTGTCCGCAGAAAACGAAATTCAAATGCGGCGAGATCTTTGCGAGCTGAGACGGAGACAAAAGAGATTTACGAGACGGCGGGCCGTTTTTCACATTTTCCGCCCCAGTTCGGCTTTGCAGCCTTGTTTTGGCCACAGATTCTCCGTTTCTTTTCCGTTTCGGCTGGTTGTTGACTTGTGTTGTCCGCCGCATCTCCCTCTACCCCTCCCAACTCGTCCGCATTTCATCCGCCACTTTTTTCCTCCACCGCCGTGCCCCGGGCGAGGCCTCGTTTGGTGGCGCCATGACTTCTGTGGAGCGGCTGGCGACTGCCTGGCGCCTGACGAGTGCGCACGCGCCTTCTTCCCCCCCAAACCGACCTCCACCAGGTGAGTATATATGAGTGTGGCCTCGTGCGTCCTGTCTCTTGGGTGTGGTGATGGGTTGGTGTGTGGATGATGTGTAGGGATGAATGCATGGTGCATTTCGTTGCCATGAGTGTGCTCAGATGCCTCCTGTTGCCGTGTTTGTGAGTGCAGATGCACGGGTGGTTTATTCTTTTCATTCCCGTCTCTTGTTCTCGACGCATTTATCTGAAGATTGGTGAGGTGGGTGAGTGCCTCACTCAGTTTGGTGTTGACGCGCACGTAAGGTTCCCTGTCTGCCTCCCGTTGTCCGCAGAAAACGAAATTCAAATGCGGCGAGATTTTCGAGCTGAGACTGCGAGCTGAGACGGAGACAAAAGATTTACGAGACTGCGGGCCGTTTTTCACATTTTCCGTCCCAGTTCGGCTTTGCAGCCTTGTTTCGGCCACGTTTCCTCCAGTCCTTTTCCTTTTTGGCTGGTTGTTGGCTCGTCTTGTCCGCATCTCCCTCTACCCCTCCCAACTCGTCCGGATGTCGCCCGCCACTTTTTCCTCCACCGTCGTGCCCCGGGTGAGGCCTCGTTTGGTGGCGCCCTGCCTTCTGCGGAGCGGCTGGCGACTGCCTGGCGCCTGACGAGTGCGCACGCACCTTTTTTCGCCCAAACCGACCGCCAACAGGTGAGTACATATGAGTGTGGCCTCGTGCGTCATGTTTCTTGGGTGCGGTGATGGTGTGGTGTGTGGATGATGTGTAGGGATGAATGCATAGTGCATTCCGCTGCCCTGGGTGTGCTCACATGCCTCCTGTTGCCGTGTTTGTGCGTGCAGATGGGCTGGTGGCTTTTTCTTTTTGTTCCCGTCTCATTTTCTCGACACATTTCTCTGAAGATTTGTGAGGTGGCTGAGTGCCTCCTTGAGTTTGGTGTTGACGCGCACGTCAGATTCCCTGTCTGCTGCTTTTCAGATATGCGATCCCTTGGTCAGACGAAAAAAAGCCGAGAAAAGAGACAGATTTTACGCATTTTGAGTATTTATCTTTCTGTCTTACAGCAGGTCGGGAAGTTTTCACAGGCCGGGAAGTTTTCACGACGACGACAACCTCCTGACCAACGAGAAGCCATGCGTATGGAAGCCATAAAGGTAGTCGCGTATTCACGTCTACTGTGTCAGAAACTCAGCATGCTCACTGCATCGATCAGCAGAAAAACGGGCTGTGTTTTCAGACAAATGCGGAGCTTCTGAGTACGCCAGTCGCTTCATTCGCGCCGTGACAAGGCTGTTCATATCGTGACGGGCACTCGACATCTCTCCCCCTTTTTGTCTTGTGTTTCAGCTCAGCAAGGGAAGTCTGGCGGCATCGTTGCCCTCAGCATTATCCTGAAGGCCACTCAGGTACGTAAGGGAAGAGGATAGAAAATATATTTGCTCATGTCTCCTCTGTGTTTCCTTTGATTCTCTTCGTATACTTTGCCGCTTCGGCGGCCATCGACTGGCCCCAAGCTGCCCGACTGGTAACCCCCGAATCTGACATCCATCCATACATGTGCAGACCTTTGTGGCTGGCTGGCTGCGTTCTCTGTTGGCTGCTCCCCTCGTCATCGCCGTCAAGAGCCCTTCACTGGGAGCCTTGGGCACTCAAGTAAGCGTGTGCGCATACACGCGCGCGACTTGTTCGTTTTGGTGTGGATGTGTATATGGTCACCTCAGAGTTTCAGCGGGTTCAAGCCGAAGGTCACGAAACCCTATGAGGCGGGACCGGCCTTGGCACACGACGTGTGCCACCCCGTGCCAGCGCGAGCCACAGGCCTCTCCCTCTCTCCCTCCGCGTCCCTGTCCATCTATCCGTCCGTCCGTCCTCCATGCGAGCATGGGAGGCAGAAACCGCGGGAATCGTCGTCGCCGTCAGGCACCCCTCCAGGTCTGTTTGTGTCGTGTGTGTGTGTGTGTGTGCACTTCTGGTGTGTGAGCCAAGAGCTGGGCAATCATTGTCGAGGGGTCATGTCGACGAACGAGCCCAAGCCATCGCCCGATATGGTCGACAGCTGGCAGGTCATGGTGCCCACGCAGTCAGAAGCAACGACGCGAGAATGAGGTATGCTGAAGGAGGGAGGGTGAAGGAGGGAGGGTGATGAGGGAAGAATAGGGAAGAAGGAGGCATGTCGGGAGCCATTCTGGGCTGTGCTGTGCTCCTCATCTTTCACAGCACGTCAAGGAGGCGCCCGGCTCGCCCACCGCAAGCACAAAGAGCGCTGAGTCGAGTTCCCACAAGGTATGCAGAGCGACTTACATGCGCATACACGCGCGCGACTTGTTCGTTTTGGTGTGTGTGTATGGTCACCTCAGAGTTTCAGCCAGCCGAAGGTGAAGAAAGTGAGCACAAGGCGCGAATGGTGTATGCATGAATGGCTGTCTTGTCTCTTCAGGTTTGGGTGCCGAAGCTGGTGCAACCCAAGGTCACCGACACGGTATGCAAAATGTGTCGTGGACCTGGGGTTTTTGTGTGCACTGATGTCTGTGTCAGATCTGCAGGTGAGCACGGCGCCCACATTTCGAACACGCATGCCTGATGAATCGCTGGTGTGTTTGTCTTGTCAGGACTTCTCCGGTCTGCCGAGCCGTCAGGACAACAGCAAGACCAGTGGCAACTCGGGCAAGGTGTGTAGAAGTGTACGCACGACGACATACACGTGTGCATGCCCATATGTGTGTACTTCACTGCAGCCTGTGACTGAGGAGACAGTTTGGGGCACGTCTGTGCCCGCAACCACCACCACCATGGCCACGAGAGTGCGCAAAGCTTAGACACACACTCACATCCGCGCATCGGCAACGAGATGATGGCACGTCTGTCTGTGTGGGTGTGCTCAGGTGTGCGGACATTCCTGTAAGGACCACGACAAGAACCACACCAAGGTGAACAGCAACGACCACCACAAGGTGCGCACCATGCACACACACACGCGCACACACACGTGCACACACATGCATCCACGTGTCACACATTGCCTGCATATCTGTGTGATTTCGTAGAAGATGGAGTGCTGGTGGTGCTCTCACATCGGGCACAAAATGAGCCACTGCCCGGAGATCTGGGCACTCCCCGCCGAGATGCGAGTGGAGATCCTGGGTTTGTAGGTATGCATGTCTGTGTGGCACGTCTCTGTGTGAACGTCTTTGTGTATGCAGCATGTGGATGTGGAGTGCTGGTACTGCCAATGCCGCGGCCACAAGATGAGCCGCTGCCCGCAGGTCCTCGCACTGCCCTTGGAGCTGCTCCTCGGCCGCTAGGACACCCAATCACCCACACCCACACACGCCCACACAGACAGCGACCGAGGGCATCAAGGTACGTAAAACCATTGGATGGCGGGTGCAGTCAGATGGAGTGATTTGTTTCCTGTCTCTTTGTAGGCCGTCAATTGCTGCCTACGTTTTATATCCAATCGGCCTCTTGTTCTCACTTCCGCAGCAGCTGTGTCTCGCATGTCAGCGTGACCTCGAGGCTGACAACCATCATCGCAAGACCCAGGTGATGTCACACGTGCAGAGAGACGAAGATATTCATTCTGATCTCTGTCTGTGTCCTGTGTTGCAGCTGGTCGAGTTGATGAAGATCAAGCTTCGCCATGCTGAAAAGGACAGCATCAACCTCATCAACCAGCTGACGTCAATATGGGCCAACAAGAGGGTCATCGAAGACTTACGTACTGACGACCGATGTCATTCCGTTTGCGTGTGTGTGTGTGATCACAGATGCTTGGAGTCCAGTTTGGCGCCCCTGCCAAGGACACCGTCGCCCGTCACGTCCAGACTACCAATGTACGTTCACAACACGACACAGACAACACAAGACACACAGTCTCTCGCTCCCTCTACGCCTCCGTCCGTGCCGTCCGTCCACCCACCCTGCCATCCATATGGGAGGGAAGTCGGGCGGCAAGAAGAGGCAGATCCGTGTCAAGGCCGCCAAGAACGTAAGCGAGGGAGGAAGATATGGGCGGGAGGGGAGGGAGGGAGGCTGATTCGCACCGGAGCGGACGCCTGTGCGTGGCTCCTGTTGGCATGCCTTTTTCAGGCCATGTCGGTCTCTGACGCCTCCGCCCCGTCAACGCCCAGCACCGCAAGTACCGCCAGCGCCACCGAGGTGCGCGAATTACTGGCTCGCTGGGCGTCTCGTTGTTGCAGTTGTGTCTGTGATTGCGGTGATCTACAGGCACGAGTCAGGCTGCTCGAGCTGCAGCTGCGGGACATAGCTGCCGACAACGTGCGCAAGACACAGGTGATGATGCTACACGGGGAGAGAGGCAGAAAATATTCATGTTGAACTGTGTCTGTGTCCTGTGTTGCAGCTCAATGAGTTGATGACGATGAAGCTTCGCAATGCCGAGAAAGACAACATCAACCTGCTGGAGCAACGTGTGTGCCATGTGTGGCTCCTGACACGCCTACCTCCTCGACTGGCAGCGGTGACGCTGCCAGTGGAGGAGCGGACAATGTACGCCTGACGGGCTGTGGGGCGTACATCTTTGCTTCGTCTCTCAGGAAGGGATTCGTCTGCTCAAGGAGAAGTTGCGCGCCGAGCGGGAGGTGTGGGCCAAGAAGGAGGCCTTCTTAGAGCAGGTTGGAGGGAGAGGGAAGGCGGGCTGATGGCTGCCAACAACCTCTGCTGCCCTGTCTTTCAGGAGATACTAGGTGTCTGCCGGGAGAACTCTGAGTTGAGCCTGGTAAGGTCATCGACTAACAAATGCCAATCCGAATGCCGTGTGGTGTGTGCGCAGGAGCTGGCGGCCGCCAAGGATGACAACCACCAGCTACTCGAGTAGGTCACGGATGCCACCTTCAAGAAGCCAGCAGTCAGGGTAAGCATGAGAGGAGTGACGGCTTCAATTATGCATTTGTGTCTGTGGGTTTGTGTGTCAGACTACTGCGGTGCAGACGGTACTGCCTGCCCAGCTGGCTGCCTAAGTGCCTGTGTGAGAGTTCCATCTCTCCCTCTCTCTCTCTCGCTCCCTGCCTCTCCCGTCCATCCGTCCGTCCCGTCGCTCGGCACGCGAGCGAGGCGGCATCTGAGGGGGTCTGGCTGCCTACCTGCCTGCCACCAGCCTGCCTGCCTGCCTGCCTGCACCATGGCACGCCACCGTCCCGGCAAGAAGGCCGCCGCTCGTGCGGCATGTGTGGCACCCGACACGCCTACCTCCTCCACTGGCAGCGGTGACGCTGCCAGTGGAGGGGCAGATAAGGTCCGCCTGACAGGCTGTGGGTACTCATCTGAATGATCCCATGTGTGCTGCGACTCTCAGGAGATTATTCGTCTCCTACGGGATAAGCTACGTTCCGAGCGGGAGGAGCGGGCCAAGACGGAGTCCATTCTCCAGCAGGTAGGAGGGAGAGGGAAGGCGGGCCAATGGCTGCCAACAACCTCTGCTGCCCTGTCTTTCAGGAGCTACTGAAGCTGTGCCGCGTTAATTCTGAGTTGAACAAGGTAAGATCGTCGACTTTTAACACATGCCAATCTGAATGCCGTGTGGTGTGTGTGCAGGAGCTGGCTGCCGCCAAGGAGGACAACAAGAACTTGCTGGACCAACTGCACGTGTTGGTATGCGCCACCCATTCACTCACACATAAGCAGATCGATGTGCATTCATTCTACGTCTGTCTGTGTGTGGGTGTGTGTGCAGGTCAACGAGCCGAGCCTTGATGTTGCGGGGCGGCACTCCCTCCTGCTCCTCCTGCGATCGTAAACCTCACACACATCCATCCACTCACAACATGGCCAGATCCAAGTGCACCTGCGTCTCTGTGCATGTGTTGTGTGTGCAGTCTGGTTCCCTCGGTGCTGGTGCTCCTGACGTTGGTTCGGTCGCTCCTGGAGTTGGCAAGACCTCCACGACGTCGCCTGCCGGCAATGTACGCGCTCACACACAACATCAACTCATTCATGGGCAGGTCCCGTGACAATGTGTGTGTTCAGGACAGAAGCCTCGGGCAACATGCTCGCCGCACCGTCTGAGAGGCCCGGCGAGAGCAGGCAGACCGGCAACGATCGGCCGAGGAGGAATCCATGGTGACCAAGGTATGATGGCCAGCTGCCGGTAAGGACACACTTGCCATAATTCTGGACTTCGCTGTGCACAAGGGCCTTCTATGTTTGCAGGCGTGCAATTGCTGCCTCCATTTTATATTCGACGGCCGTGTTTTTGAGATCCGACGTGCGGCCGCCACTTCCGCATTATGTCTCGAGACAGCCTGAGAGGAGACATCATCGTCACGATGTTGGACGGGGTTGAGAAGGGCGGCGGGTAAGCAGCGCGCGGCACACACACGGGCAGGGGAAAGTCACGGAATCTGTGTGCATGGATCTCGTTTCCTGCCCTTGAGATAGAGCCTCGGCGGGCAAATCGCTGTCTACATTTTATATTCGATCGATTGATGACGACATATTGAGCCGCACGCCTTGCCCCGCCGTCTGGGCATCAGATGTGAGCTGTCGAAATGTACTGATCAACTCGCGGGTAAGCGTGTGTGTGCACGCAGGTAAAGTGCCGTCTGCGTCTTACATCTGTGGCCCTCTCCTAGTACTTCATCGTGGACCTGGCGGCTGTACATCGATCGCATCAACATCTCCGGCGGCCCCACAGGTACGTAAGTGAGGAAGAACAGAAGAGACTCGTGGACATTTGCTCATGTCTCCTCTTTCCTCTGTGTGTTAACGCATACTTTGGCCGCTTCGGCGGCCATCGAGAGAGGTATGTTGGCCAAGGTGCCGGACGACTAATGGACACGTCCATCTGTACACACACAACGCACTTATGGGTGCGTCTGCAGCTGTCCGATTTGCAAGAGCACTTCGACGCCCAATGTGTGTGTGGGTGTGTGTGTAGGCTCAGAGGTTGCGCGAGGAGTTGGAAGCGGCGCACAAGGACACGCAGGACAACCACTACCAGCAAGTGGGCGTCGTCGACACACCCACACAGAGAGAGAGACACGCCACGAGTTGACGACGGGTTATCAGAACTCCATGGCCATCAAGTCCACACCGGTAGGCACCATCACACGCACACACACACACACACACACACACAGAGCGGCGCGCCATGTAGGTGTGTGTGTGTGTGTGTGCAGGCGAGGCAGAAGCGAAAGCCAGTCCAGATATACGTCCTTCCAAGAAGAATTAGCGTTATCCCCCCCGCGGAGCCTCCCCATAGGTAGCTTTTTCCCTTTCTCATCATGTTCGTGCACACGTGTCTGTCTCTCTCGCCTGATGGCTTGCTGTGTACATCTGCAGGAAGCCATGGGGGGGCAGGACTCGGCCATATGACGAAAAGGACGAACAAAAAAACTTCCGTTGCCCGAAAAGGGTAAGAGAGCAGCAGCCTGTAAGCATCATGGATGGATGCTCATTGTTGTTCCTGTGTCTTTACCCTTCTGTCAGCCCCACTGATGGGCAACAGCCCTGCTCCTAGTGTTCGCCTGCATGTTGTGTGTGGCGTGCTGTCGTGTGATTTGTGTTCTTCATGTATGTGATGCCTCCCCAACGAATTAGCGAATGAGGTAGTCGATGCCATATTCACGCTGGCGGCCGACAGACAGCACGAACTCAGGCAGTCGGGCAGAGCGTGAGCGACCTGCACACACCCTATCACTGCGTTCCGACCAACACGTATTCTGTGTGTGTGTGGCAGGTTGCCCCGCGTCCGCTTCACCGCCACCGACTTTTGGCAGAAGCTGGCTGGCCCCGACGACGGCTACAAGTACAACTACGAAGCCGTCAAGAGCCGCAACAACATCCAGGGCGTAAGTGAGCCGCCCAGCCACCCAACCACCCTGCTAGCTGCACCGTGCAGCGTCATCAAGTGAGAAGACAGAGGCCTCACGAATGACACACGCTGCTCATTCCATATTGCTGTGCTGCATGTATTATCGTGCCTTCAGCATCACGCTCGACAATCTGTAAGCGACAGTACAGGACACGACAAACCCCATCATCATCAACAGAGCACCCGAGCAGCAGTGGCGTGTGTGTTGAACTTTCAATCGTTGGCGGCAGTGGTCGCCGGAGCAGACTCATGAAGACAAAGAGGAGAAGGGGGGCGAGAAGCCGGATGATTTTAACGACACTCGTGTGTGAGGGGGGAGGGCTCTCTGCCCGCTCACTCGCTCCGGCCACCCACACCACCAAGCCCACGCTGCCGGTGCGCAGAGACACACACACATGCATCCGCGCATCGGCAACGAGATGATGGCACGTCTGTATCTGTGCGTGTGTTCAGGTGTGCAGTCGTTCGAGTTGGAAGACGGCCGTCAAGCACGACAACAAGAACAAGGTGCGCACCATACGCACACACACACGCATGTATCCACGTGTCACACATTGTCTGCATATCTCTGTGTGATTTCGTGATAGATGGAGTGCTGGTGGTGCCACCAGCGGGGCCACAAGATGAGCCGCTGCCCGGAGATCTGGGCACTCCCCGCCGAGATGCGAGTGGAGATCCTGGGCTTCTAGGCACTCCACACCAATACACACACACCTCTCCCTCTCTGCTGCGTGTCATGATGATGATGTGTGGGTGGATGGATGGATCTGGGGACAGTGAGCACTTGGGCAGCGGCCCCGCTCGCACCTCGCACATAGCGGCCGAAGGCACCAAGGTTCGTATGAAACCATGAGAGGCGAGTCCAGACAGACGATCTGATTTCTTCCCTACCTGTCTGTCTGTCTGTCTGTCTGTCTGCAGGCCTTCGATTGCTGCCTACACTTTATATCCGATCGGCCTCTTATTCTTATTCTCGCAGCGCAAAAATTGGCAGCAGTAATTCCCTCGTAAGCATTGACATGTGACAATCCAATGTCCTCATTCTTTCATGTGTCACTTTGCAGACCAGCCCTGCCTACCTGCCTGCCTCTGCCTACGTCCCTGCTGCCGACCATGCCCAACACGGGCCGAGTGTGCCGACGCGAGTATCGCCGCCTGGGGGTACGTGATGCGAAGAGAGGCGACGATGGGCCGCGAGCCGCTCGTGGCATCCGCTGGTTGTGTGCCGCAGGTCACCGAGGAGGAGTTCAAGAGGTTCGTCAACAAGAGGCAGCTGAAGGAGCCGCGCACGCCGACAGCCAGCACCAGCATCAGCAGCAAGGGCAGCTTCAAGGTGAGCACAGTGCCGCGCACACACTTCCACGCATTCAGACGCCTGCATGCCTGTCATTGTCTGTCTGCGTGTGTGTGTGTGTGCTCTGATCACAGGAGTTCAACTTGTTTGACGAGGAGGACGTGAGTGCGACGCACGTGAAGCTCTCACACGCAACTGAGGAATCGCTGCTGTATGCGTTTGACAGGCGTTCGTGGCCCTGCCCGCCAAGACCGAGGTGCCCGACAAGGCCACCATCAAGGTATGCAGAGGCGTCACACACGCACACATTGCTGGCATGTGTGAATCTGTGCACAGGACGTCGACGAAACTTGCGTCGTTGGCACATATTGAGAATGACACACGCATTGGCACATTAATACGGATCCCCCTGGATGGCTATGTCATATGTGCAGGGCAGTGATTGCTGTCTACGTTTTATATCCTGTCGACCTCTAGCTCTCTTTCCTCTGCCGCAGCATGGGAACGACGAACCCGATCATCATGCCACAGCGGTGCGGCCGCATTGGCATCCCGTCTGCAGATGGCTGCTTACATTTTGTATTCGACGTTTGTGTCTCCAAAGCGACGACAGACAACGTATAGACAGACTCGGGGCGAAGAGAGGTGGAGGACTGTTCTTACTGTCTCCATGCTGATGTCTCTTCTGGTTGCTGTGTGCAGATCGATCGCTGTCTACACTTTATATCTGTCGGCCCATTACAGTCACATGCCGATGCTCGTCATCCCGGGCGCTGCACATCGACCGCATCGACGGCCCGGCGGCATCACAGGTGCGTAAGTGAGGGAGAAAAGAAGAGGCTCATCGACATTTACTCATGTCTCCCCTCTTCTCCTGTTTGTCTATGCGTATTCATGGCCGCTTCGGCGGCCACCGAGAGGTCTACCAAGGGCCCGCTGGCGGCCACCGATGTCCACAGAGGCTGGCTTGGCCGTGGATTGCCTCAGCACATGTGCAGCGTACCGCCGTCAAGACCGTCAAGTACGGGGCCGCCAACAAAGAGATGCTGCTGCTCCCAGGTGGGGCCACACACAGATAGATGGATGGATGGATGGATATGTTGTCTTGCTCGGTGTTGTTAGGTCACTTCACGTCCATCCAGCAGATCGGCAACTCCCCCTCCCTGCAGGCCGACCTCACGCACCGCATAGTCCACAACGAGACGCTGCTCGCTGTCATTCAAAACGAGGAGGCACGTCCACCTAACACACAATGCACACCTATCCACCTATGTGTGGACGTGTCTGTGACGCAGCGAAAGTTCAATGGGACTCAGGCTGAGTTCCACGCCCGCAGCAACAACAAGTACAAGGGCAGACGCGCCATGACATCATACGCACACACACACAGACAGGCAGACACGAGGTGCATTCCCCTGTGTGTTGTCTGTGTTTATGCAGGGGTCAGGGCCTCTCAACCACCTACCGACCCTCTTCCTCACCGAGCCATTCATAGCGCGGCTCTTCCAGGACATCAACCAGCGAAGCAGAGGCAGGAACGGTGGTGTTGGTAGGGCTGTGGGTGAGGCTGGGCAGCACATGTGTGTAAGAGAGAGATACCTTACACACACTGTACTGTGTCGATCGAGAGCGTTGTTGGTGCGGCGGTGCGGTTTGTGTGTGTGGCAGAGCTTTCCGGCGGTTCAGTCTCGTCACCACGAGGTATGCAATTGAAGATGAGCCGTGGCACATGAGATCTCACCTGCCGTCCTTTCTGTGACGCATTAGGGCCGCAGCTACCGCCACCACCACCACCACTCCGGCCGCCGCAACTTCACTCGGATTCCTTTGGGCGAGACAGGTAGGGTGCAGGCGGTCGAGCAGTCCAGACACATGCGTCACATGCGCTAATGCGTGATGTCTCCGTGTTTGTCTGTCTCCAGGTATGCGGTTCAGCTACTACTACGAGCAGCCGGCTGAGGAGGAGCATACTGGTTCAACAGGTGCTTCAACTGTCGCGGGATCGGGCACTTCCACTACGAGTGCCCCTTCCCGCGGCAGCCGCGCCGCCACCACGTCCACCCTCGCGCGCGCCGCCAGTGAGCGTGTCTGCGTCCTCTCTGGTAATCGTATAGCCATCCCCGTGCAGCCCCCAGCCAGGCCCCCATATATCGTCTTTCTCGCACGACCACACCAAACACACGGCTCACACATGAGCAGATCGACGTGCATTCATTCTACGTTTGTGTGTGGGTGTGTTTGCAGGTCAACGAGCCCTCTCGTGTTGGTGGTGACGGCGGCCAGGTCGAGAATCCTCCGGCTCCTCCCGTGTTGGTACGCGCCACACACTCACTCACACACATGGGCAGATCGACGTCCATTCTACGTCTGTGTGTGTGCAGGTTCGTCCAGGCTACAACGCCACCATCAAGGGACCTAACAGCCATGTAGGCGAACAGAATGAGAGGCGGCGGCACATATACAAAACACAATCTGATCTGCTTGGTCCGTGTGAACAGGCGTTTCCCCTCTTCAATCCCGCCGTCAACTTCCAGCGCGTTCGTCATCAGGTATGTGTGGTGGTAGCAAAGATGAGAGTCTAAAGTGTGCAGGACATTTCCTTTGTCATTCCTGGTGTTGTGCAGGATCACCACTGTCGCCAGCCGCCCTACAAGTTCAATAAGTGCCCGCGACAGTCTGCGGCAGCCATCGGTCAGCGAGACAGATGCAGAGAGAACCATTAGAACATGATCATTCCTGGTTTCTGTTTGCCTGTGCAGGCTGCCGCCTGACTTACAGGGAGGAGCTGGAGGACTTCTGGAGAGGGCGGTGCTACCACTGAGAGCGATTCGGCCACCACGCGAACCACTGCTGGCATCCCCCGGTTCCGCCCCACCTCCGCCACCCCCGGCCCCCCGCCCGCTTTGGCAACTGACATCATCATGGGTCAACAAGACGGTAAGCGAAGACGTACGTACTAACCCGACCAACGTCATCTTGTGCAACAGCGTACGCGTTCTCTTCTCTCGGTGGCTGGGTGGTGTGCAGATCGCTGGTTACATTCTATATTCGATCGACTGATGACAACCCCCTCAACCGCATTGCCTTGCCCGAAATGATCTGCGAATGGTATATGAGCTGTCGAAATAGACCGATCAGCTCCCATCCCTCGGTGGATTCCGCGTCAGATCTACAGTAGGCAAAGCAGTCAGTGCGTCAGGTGGCAAAGAGGTATACATGCCTCTGTGTGTCTGTCTGTCTGTCTCTCTCTCTCTCCTGCCAGTCCAGCAGGAGGTTCGCGCGTACCCCGTGGGGATCAAGTACAACAACCAACCGGCCAACAGGCCGAACGCTGAGCTGATGCGGCGCGGTGACGTTCACTCCGGTTTCACGATGCTGGTGGCTTAAGACGCATGCCCATCAGGGTAAGAGATTGGCAGTCTGTCAGCCCCACCGAATGGACGTCTGTTTATTGTTCTTTCTGTGCGCATGGATCTCGTTTCCTGCCCTTCAGATAGAGCCTCGGCGGGCAGATCGCTGGCTACATTTTATATTCGATCGATTGATGACAACTCCTTCAACCGCATCGCCGTGTCCGAAATGATCTATGTGAAGCTGTCAAACCAGACTGATCACTTTCCTGTCTTCCTGACGTGTCTCGTGTCTGTGTGGTCAGATCGATCGCTGTCTCCGTTTTATATCTGTGGACCTCTCGTTCTCAATTGCCAATGCACCTCATGCAAACCTGGCTGCTGTGAGTAAATCGCTCTGATATCCCCGGCGGCCCCAAAGGTACGTAAGTGAGACACAAAAGAGAAGGGTCATCAACATTTGCTCATGTCTCCTCTTTCCTCTGTGTGTTAACGCATATTTGGCCGCTTCGGCGGCCACCGAGAGACGTCTGTTTGCCAAGGTGCCGGACGGGTATGGGCCCGCGGAGCTCAAAGAGAATACTCCCACGACCAATCAGGTGCGTCTGATGGACACCTCCATGTGTACACACACAACGTACTTGGGGGTGCGTCTGCAGCTGTCCGATTTGCAGAGGCAGCGACGCCCAATATGTGTGTGGGTGTGTGTGTAGGCTCAGAGGTTGCGCGAGGAGTTGGAAGCGGCGCACAAGGACACGGAGCACAACTACCAGCAGGTGGGCATCGTCACACACACACACACACACAGAGAGAGAGAGACGCCCAATGTGTGTGAGTGTGGGTGTGTGCAGGCTGACGAGTTGACGACGGGTCATGAGAACTCCATGGCCATCGAGTCCACACCGGTAGGCACCATCACACACACACAGAGGCGCGCCATGTGTGTGGTTGTGCGTGTGTGTGTAGGCAAGACAAAAGCGAAAGCCGGTCACGATATACGTGCCTCCCCAACGAATTAGCGAATGAGGTAGTGGATGCCATATTCACGCTGGCGGCCGACAGACAGCACGAACTCAGGCAGTCGGGCAGAGCGTGAGCGACCTGCACACACCCTATCACTGCGTTCCGACCAACACGTATTCTGTGTGTGTGTGTGTCTGGCAGGTTCCCTCGCGTCCGCTTCACCCCCACCGACTTTTGGCAGAAGCTGGCTGGCCCCGACGACGGCTACAAGTACAACTACGAAGCCGTCAAGAGCCGCAACAACATACAGGGTGTAAGTGAGCCGCCCAGTCACCCAACCACCCAGCGACACATACAAACACGCCCATCGTCCGTATGTATGTTTGTGTGATTCAGATAAGCGTGTTTGAGGTAGACTATCTGGCCGTGCCGATCTGTGATCATGGGCACTGGTCGCTAGGGTTTGTCGACGTGAGGTACTGACACACACACACACAAACACACACTCGCGAACGAACGAACGAACGAACGAACGACGAGAAATGTGCCTGTCTGTGTGTGTGCCTTGTTGCCTGCAGGAGGAGACGGGTGGGGGTATTAGACACGGACATGCTGCCCAGCGAGGATACCAGCTTCCAGTACACACACACACACACACACACATGTCCAGACAGAATGTGCGGAAGGTGTGTGTGTGTGTGTGTCTGTCTGTCTGTTGTGGTAATGCAGTTTCCTCCATTTCATGATTGACTATATGAGGGACGCCTACAGGGACTTGTTTCACCGCGAGATGCCATTTGGCGAGTTCAGACAGTGGTGCGAGGCAGATGATGAGGTACACAGACACATACACACACAAGGCCTCCATGTCCCATTTCTTGTGTGTGTATGCAGTTGGATCTGCAGCAGCAGGCGTACGAGGAGGACAGCGGCATATGGATGCTGCTGTTCGGCTTCTGCTTAATGACTAGAACGTAAGCGCCCAAACAAGGAAAG